TGTTGGCTACTATGGGTTAACATAAAAAAAAAAATCTAATGTTATCTGCTATAGCTGGAAAAAAGGATATGTTTTTTTTATGCCTGAAAACCCTACACAGGCAAGTCTGAGTTACTGAGTTGCTGAAGGATGCATCTCTGCCTAATTTGCAGGATGTCCTCTAGATCTGGAAATAAATAATTTGACCCTAAATATCCTACACCACTCAATCGTTGTGCAAGCTTCTGGTCCAATAAATCCTGTTAATATGCAGGAATCTACGTGCCTGTAACTTAGGAACTGAAGATCACCTGTTGCTAAGCACCTACCTTCTATACGTTGCTAAGCAGCTGGTAATGCAGCTTCATTTGCTGTTCTCATGCCTTCAATTCATAGACTACTTGAAAACCTTGAGACTTCAAATTACTAAGATACAATAAAGACAGAAGCACTACCATCCCATTTACACTTTCTTTTTCTATTTGCCTGCTTTTAAAAAAAGCTAACACCAGATGTTCAAGTTTAACATTAACTCAGGAGCTTAAATAACACTTTGGTGGGTCATGCAATGTGGATCTTCTGAGAAGCTCTCAGAAAGATGAAAGATAATCTAAGGATATATATATATATGCTTCTCAAATCTATATTCCCTTTAAATTTCTGTCCCCCCCCTCGCTTCACAGTCATTCTGCAGGCATACTTGATTAATATTTAATAAATTCACTTATATTAGCATAGCATCCTATAGGTTATCTTTAAATTTACAAGATTCCAACTTAGAATAATCATAATATAATGAATCAAAATCATAACAGCCCATTATTAGAGGAAAAAGGGAGAGGAGGGAGATAGAATTTGACTTTCTCTAATCTGATAAAAATTGCACCCTGTGGGAAATGGATTACCAAATCACTTTTGGAGTTTATAACTCAAACCTAAGGGAAAAAACCATCATATTTATATGCAAAGACATGGTATAACAATTTGAAGAAGGATTTCTGGCCTCCATGAATTATTTTTAAAAACAATTACTAGAGCAATTATCCATTCAAGCCACTTTTCACAATGTCCTTTGCAAATTAAGCTGTCAATTTCAAACATAAAAAAATGACAGGAGAAAAGATGAATGAACCAAGCAAAATGTAAATAATAAAGATACATTAATATTTTATACTGGCAATATACCATGCCCTATCCAACTTGTTAATGTCCTAAATGGCTACAGGCAATTCTTATTTTAGATGCTGAGATATTTCTTCAGGAAGACTGAAATGTACAGTGAGTTGTGCAAGGCCTGGTTTCTTCTCTGTGAGATCTGCAAAGGACCACCTACTGTGTCCTGTCCCTTTGGTGTTCCAGAGAGAGGTTCTGAAGGAAGTTACTGCTGTTGATGGTGCCTAGAGATAATAGGATGGAGAGAAGGGCAACATGGCTGTGTTCACATAACACACTTCATAACTGTTTTAATCATGGTTTCTTGAAAAAAACTAGAATAAGCTAGTATCAGTCTAAAAAATGAGCAAAGTGCTTAAAATTTGGTTGGTATTTCCTCCTGCTTTTGCTTTGCACCACTTGTAGCCTTCTGCAATCTTCAGAGGCCCTTCTGACTATGATTGCTGAAAACATACATTAAATGCATCACCATATCTCTCAGCACAATGTGGACATCCAATTTTATTTTTGCATTTATTTGGATTAGGATTTTGGATTTCTGTTGGTAGACTTTAATATTATATATTAGTGTATATATACAGGTAGTCCTCATTTAGTGACTGCCTCATTTAGTGACTGTTTGCAGTTACAACAATGATGAAAAAGTAACTTTACAACCAATCCTCGTATTTATGACCTTTGCAGGTCTGTAAAGCAAAGGAAAACTGAAGTAAGATCATAAGCACAGTTGCGGTTTGGCTTAGCGACTGCTTCACTTAACCGAGTCGCCAGTCCCAATTGTGGTTGCTAAATGAGGACTACCTATATTTAATTTTAAGATATATTTATTAATATTATTTGTATTATTTATTTAAATGTTGCTCTGTAAGTGAACGGGCATGTAATGCAACCTTATATGTGAATGTTTCTGATTCATGAGCTGTTTCAGGCCCAGATCTAAATTGAATTCAAAGATAGCAAGTTTCTAGTTAAATCTGAGATTTGAGATTCAAAGTATAGAGATTTTATTTCACAAATGATCACACATTGTAATCGGAAAGCATCAAAGTGCCTGATGTTTTGTCCATATATGGAAGAAAATCTGCAAAATCTCTGTTAGAAATGCTGCAAAAGAGCGAAGTCCATTGAATATCCAAATCAAATATTTTTGATGCGATTTGAAGATGCAACTGAGAATGATGATTTGACTGAGACTCCTTCAAACAGAATCATCCTTCCAGCAGTCACACAGCCATAATGGTTACCATAGAAAAGAAATGAAGGAAGAAATAACACAATAAGAAGTACTGGAAATGTCTCCCCCTCACACCCTCACAAAACCTGATTTTAGAGCTGCTTGAAGCATTTTGCTTTGATGATTGAATGCTCTTATAAGTTTCTCCATGAATAAGAACCTCATCATAGCACATTCTAAAGAAGAGCCCCTATGTATGGGAATATATATGTCCACATGTACCTCTGAGTACCTTAAGTTACACCTACAGGGATTCAGAAGATCTACCCCAAATCTATATCTCCCCAATTTAAGTCCAATATTCCAGCAATTACAAATCACTGGCTCAGTATTTGCCATGTTGTTCCTTAAAATACCTTAGCAATTATATCAGCGATTTTATTTCGGATATAACTTTATAGATTTAATTTTCAGGAACTTAAGTAAGCCTATCTCAAAGTAACTAAAAATAATGGCAGTGTGTAAAACCTCTACACAATCGTCTTTGATTCTTAATTTTCTGAGGTTATAGTTGGCCTAGAAATGTATTGCTTCCTAGTTGAAACGGACCACGTGTGGTTCAGCTGCAGCTAAAAGGGTGTAACTATGAAAATCATTTTGAAATCTCCATCGATACTATGATCATATGCTCAACAGAGTAGGCCAAAACCTAGGACCATATTATCTGAACTACGGGTACTTTGAAAAGTGTTTGATGATCTGAAAAACCCTGATGCTTATTTAATTTAAATGTTCTTATTGCAAAGAGCCTTCATTTGCAGATGGATTGATGAATATATTCAGACGGGCAGCTTGGTATCAACAGTACTAAGGAAATGGTTGTAAAATATTTCTGAGACAGAAAAGCTGAGTCTATAGGGTGAAAGATGGGAGAATTAAATTAAATTCTCTCCTAGAGGTCCTCCGGGTTTTATATACCTTGGCCTGCCTTGGTGTTGCTGCTTGATACTGTTACCGCTAATTATCTTCCAGGGAGATATCTTTACCTGTCATCTTCCTCTTTCTATTTGTATGGGACAAATAGTGATCCTGCAGCATGAATCCTTACTAGCAAGTAACAACAAGAAAAGGAAATAGACTGTGAAGCCAACTCTTCAACCTGTAGCTTTTAGAAAATACGATTAGACAAAACAGACCTCCCTCCTTTGGTTAGTTAATTCAATAACACAAAGTATAATTTAAAATCAACTTTATTAAAAGTAAGAAAAAAAAAACCTTTTTAACTTTATGTAGTCACAAGTAAGAGAAGAGAATGACCAGCAGCAAGGTGGATGGACTCAATTGCAGTGGTGATGGGTGCACCATTGGAACACTGGAAGGACCAGGATGGGGACAGATCATCCTGGAAAAAATCTCTCTGTGTGGTTGCTAAGAGTTGACACCAATTTGATGGCACATGATCGATCACTCAATCAATCAATCAATCAATCAGTCACATGCAAAAAAATCAATGGTGGATAACATAAGAAAGACAACACTGAAAATAACAGAAACATTATCTTGCAGGAATCTCCCATAAAAAAAACTATCAAGAGAACGTAAACTTGGGACAAATCCAAGGAGGGCAGGACCTGCTGCTGAAAGAGCCCAAGAACTAATGGATATATATAAACTTGCACAAATACAATAAAGTTCGGATACAATAGTTATCAAATATTATAATCAGTGTTCCCATTAAAGTAAATCAAACATCTAAATGCAGAATCTTGGCTAAAAACATTACCCATACATTAGAAATGAAGGATGTTTCCCATGAATGATTCCTGCCAGATTTTCCTGGATAATCCCTAAATCAAGTTAACTGCAACCTTAATTCAGCGTTTTAGGAGAACCTTTTACCACAACACTTCTTACCATAATTACCTAGCTTCCTAAGGTAATTATTGCCTGAAACAGATTGCCTTGTCTCACTTACTCCTGGATCCCATCCTGAAGATTCCAGCTGCTCTTTTCTGTGTTTCCCAGAACTCTCCTCCTCTCCCACCACCCCCAGACTTAGATTTTAAAATGACTTTATCTTATCAGAAAAAGGAGGAGTGAGGGATGTGTATGGAGGCCAGAACAGATTTCCACTGTCCCTCTGAATGATGTAGATTGAAATCCAGATAAATGGATGTGGATTCCCTGTCTGAGATGCCATTGTTTGTCCTGGGATTGATAGGTGGCATCTCAACAATTTCAACTACTGAATTGATAGCAGATTACTAAATAAGAAACACAGGAAACAGCAAGATAGTGAAATAGTTGTGGTTTGGGGTTTTTTTTTGTTTTTTGTTTGCTTGTTTTGCTAGACTGGATGATGCCATTGCTGGACATAGAACTAATCTTTTGGTTACAGGTATGTTCAGGTATCTTTTTGTTTTTTTAGAGTAGGATGATGGGGCAATTGTTTTAGAAGAGCCCCTTACCAAGCTCAAGTGACATTCTGTCAGCTATATGTCAGCTTTGTGGACTCTATGCATGCCTGAAACATTACAACAGCAAAGGCTGTTCAAGGGCTAACCATCTTCTCTCATGTGGGAAAGCGGAAGACAAGCCATTACCCTACTTGATGAGATGGCAGCATTTCCATGCAATATTACATATGCCACCCACAAGCAATAACAACAAATACCTGTTCTGGTTTCAGCCCAGGAGGGACCCAAGCATATTCTTCCAAGGCACAGCCCGAGTCATCATCAGAAGTCGAATTCCTCTGGAAGTCAAACATCAGCTTGGTCACCGTCTTCTCCATTTCTAAAGGCATCACTGTTTCAAAGTGTTCTGCCTGGGGGCACTTACAGTGCCGGCAAATTTTCCTGGGGATGCAAAGAAAAAAGCCAAAGGTTATCCTCTGATGTTGTTATGAAGGGGATATTGTATTAGAGGTATTAAAATACATTAAATTAATAATTTAAAGATGTATGAAATAAGGAATTAGAATGTTTTTGGCTGGAAGGCCATTCGGAGATCTATATGCCATGCTTCCATAGTTTTAAAAGTATAAGTATATACACAAAATTATGATTTCTTACCTATTGAACACCCAAGCATTTTTTTGAAAGAAATTGATGGGTTTGGCTAATGGTTGAGCATAAGATGATCAAAATGCAATGTATGTTGTGATCACATGCTATAGTGGCTTTCTTTTGAAAGGAAGTGATTTCACATATTAATTTCATTCTGGAAGACTTGGGTAGACTAAGATTTTCCTTTGAATTATATATGCCTGGTTTGGCAAGTACCAGGAGAACAATGGATAATGCATATTTTTATGATCACAGAAACACTGATACAGGCATTTCCCCTCAATTATACAGCTGTCTGAAGAAATCACTTCCCTTTTAATATCTGAGCATGCAATTTACCATCAGGGTTCCCATTTAAAGGACTGTTTAGAAATCTGGTTATTTTCTCTTTAAGAAGGCTTACATGGTAATAGTTAATTATACCCACGCCATGTTATTATACAACATCACACACATACACAGAATATTAGTTTTGTTTAGTACATAACAGATGTATCTTTTTGCAGAATTTGTTCTCCTTCCTTCCTCTTACTTCATTACTCAGTGTGAAGACTGAATGGCTTACAATTCCCGTTCCAGAAAGTAAGATTAAACCAATACAAAAATCTAACTCAACCCAACCCAATCCTGTCCATCAATAGCACCAACATCCTTGGGGTAAAATCATTATTCCATTCTTCTCCCCAAAAGCCCTCCAAAAGAGCCAGGTCTTGACTACTTTATGGATATGTAGTAGGGGGTGGGGCTTTTAATAATTTTTTGTGTGCCATTTTAAAAAGAAAATGAAAATGAAAACAGCAGCTGAGAAGCACTGGTGCAAACCAATTTGGACTAATATAAGTTGAGATATTATATCTGCTATGGGCATTGTGATATCTATATCCATGGGAAATGGTTATTGGAGGGACGGTAGAGGCTGTCTTGAATAAAGCAGCTGTCAGCAATAAGCCTGCATGGGATAAGTGAAATGCAATGTCTACATGTAAACAACAACCTGTCCTTGACAAAATGCCAGAGCCCCCAAAGCAGTTTCCTAAACCCAAACATCATTCTTTCATTTGGAGAGGGGGAAAAATACAATGAGCTCCAGACCACCCATACAGAGCTGGCTGTAAGGATTTAAGGGTCAAATGCATTTGATAGACGATCTGGGATACACCTCTTCATTTGCTCTCCTTTGACAGCACCCATAAATATGCAAAGAGTGCCAGATCATCAGCATGTCCAGCTCAGCAAGCAGAAAGGCTGTCATATACAGTATGCAAAATGTCAATGTAAACAGAAACTTAAGTGCAGCAAATTCCTCAGCAATGACAGACCATCATAGATGGGGTTGCGCTAAATAAAGGCAGTGATGAAAGTTGCACACCAGCAACTGCTATCTCTCTCTAAGATTATCACAAGGCTGCTTTACAGAGAGCAAGGGTAAAGCTCAGTCAATATCTCCTATATATGGGATTCCTAAATTTGATCCCAAGCGAAGGTAGAAGGAGTTCCTTCTTTAAGTGGAGAGAAGCTGTCTGCCTTGTCTTACAAGGAGTTCCCTTCAGAATTCATCTCCTCTGGAGTACTCTTCCTCCTCCCTTCTCAGAAGATCATCCCATTGATAGTTACAGCTCCTGGGGAAAGACGATATCTGAACAGAATCCCAAGAAGCAGAGGTGGGGCTTAGTTTTAAAACCATGATGCGCATTGACCTAGGAGAGGGAAAAGCCTGAAAATGTAAGGGTACCCGTCAAAACAAATCTCCTAATCTATCTTTTCTAAATCCTGCTAGTCATGTTCTACAATATCTGTCTCCTTCAAGATAGCCTTATCTAATCTGGTGCCCTCCAACCTTGGATTTAGAACAGCTATGCTGCTTGGAGTTGTGTTTCAGCAAAACTGCAGGGCACTAGGCTGGTATGAAAGAACTAAGAATCTCCATCCTTTAATTAGGAATTTTCTATTAAGCTGTTGGATGACGTTCAGTGGAGGGAAGGGTAAGGCTTTGCATCTTAATAGAAAAACTCAAATGAACAGATACAGAGCTGGGGAGACCTAGGCTTGGTAGCAATGCATGGGGAAATGATGTAGGGATCCTAAATGGATCAGTAGCTAAACATGAGCAATCAATGTGATGCAGCAGTGAACAGAAACATTGCACCTAGATCATGGGGGGGGGGGGGGTTACTGAGTGGCTGCTTGTTTTGGTGTCAGCATCTGTGTGTATCTTCCTGGGGATTAG